CGGCTACTAGGCTATCGCATGTGAGGATCCTGCAGGTGGCGGATTGTTTATAGCCTTTTCTCACAGCAGCTGGAATAATTAAATGTATCATTTTGATGTCTGATTGTAATCCAGAAAGGATTATGTGTTTATGAAGCACATGTGAATGAAATTAAATTATATTCCAGTTTTAAATGTGCTTCTGATTACAGATATTCTGGGATTACACAAGATTTGTATTTTAAAGACAACCAGTTCGAAGGGAGCATAATTTGCTTTTCGGGTTAAAAGAATTTCTTAATATGAAATTCGAAGAGTATGCCAATTAGATTAGACTGTGCAGAAATTGAAATCTACACGCTAATACACACTATACTCATAGTCACCAATGCTGATGTTGTTAACATTAATCATTTGAGAATAAAGTATATTAATAATTTTAACAGTTTGATGTAATATGAGCTAACCGATCTTTAGATTTAATCACCATTGGTAGCAAGATTTATGGTAATGCTTTTTTCCTCAGTTGGTCAGAACAAAAGTGGCAGACTTGTTACTTACTTGTTCAGATGACAATATACGGTGACAATTCTTATTTGGGTTATATATTCCAAGACATAGGCTAGAATCTGTGACACCGGTGTGGTGACTGACTGCCACACATACTCCTCAAAACATTAGATTAATCCGCGCTGGAGCCATGCTGCCGCACAACCCACGCAAGGAAGATAATTCCGCACACAGCTGCAATTGCAGGTTTTCAAACAGAGATGGCGACAGAGGCAAAACTTACCGCCTGCAGCTTTAAAGCAGCACTATGCAGCTTTTTCGGCGTTCAAAATTTGCTAAATGTATATAATGAGCGAGTACATCATGAATTCATCTTCCAAACCGTGTATTTGTCTTATTATAAGTGTACCGTAGTGATTTGGAATAAGTTCTTAGATTTGGACTATTGTAGCCTGGTCGGGTCGTCAGCGCTGCGGAGTAACACATACCTGCGTGAATCGCCATAGACATACACTTAGAGAAGTAGCTACAGTTGGAATGTTCTTCCGCGGGATGTGTGCAGTTCTGTTTATTAACCGCTAGAATGCTAAAAGTTACATAGTGCTGCTTAGCTTTAAACAGACTTGGACAAAAATTTCCCAAATATATGGTAAAGGTATGTCTTATTCCTAAATGAACACAATTTCAGCATAACATTTCTCCAAGATAAATTCAATAAAAAAAGATAATATAATTCTGTTGTTTACATACAAAATACATAAAAAAAAAATATTGACATTTGAATAAAGATAGCTACTTATCCCTGCTAGGAGTCATTATTATTGAGCATAAAGTTGTTAAATTATCTAAACTATATAAAAGTTACTAGAAAATCAAAGACTTGGTCATGTTATTGTTTAAAAGTGTGCAATATCCTTAGAATCTGCATTGTGTTATAGCTATTCTTATCACCACTGATTAATTTCATGTTAATTTCTGTGACAAGAATATGTTTGAATCCTTTGGAAATGTCTGGATTTCTGCACTGATTACATAATTTCACATTTGTAGACCAACACAATCTGACAACTAATATCACACAAACAATTGTACTTTCAAATTTTTTTCGAATACACCAATTAATCATTCGCAGTGCAAAGTAAATGAACATTTGTAGATCCTCCTTCAACAACTCAACCTCTAGCAAACGTTTCCTGTAGCAGACTTGTGACCAGCTTTGAATCCCTCCCCATAA